AACTCTCGACTATTTTATGATTGAGATGAGGACATTCAAATAAACCGGGTTCAATACGAATTGGAATTTCTTCACGACGGTTCATGCCTATATGAAATAGTTAGAATATAAAAAACAAATAAAAGAAAACCTTATTGATATTTTGACGAACCAGATAAAATTCGTTCACACGTTTGAATACAACGAAGAGCACTTGATGAAAGACATACATCAACTGCTAGATTACTATTCACCATAGCACGTCCAGTTTCACGAGCATTTTTTAAACCACGAACTAAAATACATTATAAATTTTTATGGAATATATACAAAAAGAAAGTCAATTTGTAAACCTGTTAGTGGTGCATCAAATTCGTATGCTTGATCAAAACGTCTTTTTGGTAAAATGATTGGCAAATTTTGATCATATGCTTTATAAGTACCTGTTCGAAATGCTCTAATGAACCAATCAGATCCCAATGCTTGATTAGCTCGTTCACTATGACGCATAAAGATAAATCGTAATGGTCGTCCTGAACTTGTATTAGCAAGTACTCCATCATGACGTGATATTGTAGGTGAATGAGTACCATGTGCACCATGAGCTTTACCAGGAGAAGATGAGCGATGGGTATGTAGGTTAAAACGAACATGACGATGATCTGCATCATTTTCATGATTGAATTCGTCATCTCTATCATCATAATTCTGCGCCATATTAAGAGATGGATTGACTGTAAGGAAGTTTTGTTGTGGTAAACTTTTTCGAAGTCCAAGAGTTGGTAATTGCTGTGATGGTGGTGCTCTAGATTGTCTATGAGGTAATCTTGGTGAAACGAAATGTTCATAACCATTGCTAATTTTATGATGACGTTTTGATATAGATTTAGATGAGGCTACTGCTCCATCTGTATCATATCCTGAATTTAAACTTTGATGATGAGATAATTTATGTAAAGCAGGCATTACACTCAAAGATGATGGATAACTATAATCAGTTGTTGTAATTATTGGAGGAGATTGTATTGATTGTTGATGTGCATGTTGATGCTGACTATTGTTATTGTTATTATTATTTTTATGATCAGATATTTTCCTTGAAAGTGCATGTGGTTGTAATGAACGATTGCTACTGATATTATTATTATTGACGTTAGTAGCATCACCATTAGTTAAATACAATTCACGATGCATAACATCAGCTAAATTGTCTACCATTATTTTTTTTTCTTTATCACACCGTACCGATACTACCTTGTAGAAAACTGAGAATGGAAGGCTTTTTCTTTTACTCTTCTATTTACCTTCATGGCGTATTTTACACGTGCACACGTTACACATCATTGCTTTATATAATCATCGTCTTTAAGTCGTACAAATAAACAATAATGATATAAGATATAAAAAGAATGAACATAGAATATCTTTAAAAACAATTTAATAATAATCGATTACATGATGTTGCGAAAGAAATCAAATGATCTATTTATTAATCATAAACTATTTATTGATTTTACAGTTACATCCTATTAGTATTTGCTTAAGATGATTCATTCCTATATTGAAAAACAAGATGTATATATATGTAAATATTATTTAATCATGACTCATATTCAGTCACAACACACATTTCACCTTAGTCATTCGGAAGTATATTATTATTACTTATTTATTCTACGTCAGGGTTATTTATTTATACTAGTTTTTCTACGACGCCATTACTTATTGCTTGTGATGAAGAGGAACATATACTCAACTACAATGAAAAATATTTGAGAAAGACGATGAATATGAAATAATTCTTCTTCTTCTTATTATTATTTTCAAATGAATTTTCAGAAACTTGTGAGAATAATGGATCATTCAACTAAAATTGAAAATTCAAAAAATTTCTATTCAAGATTGAAGAATGTAGTGCACATATTTTGGCATAAAAACCAAATTTTTAAAACAAGAAAAAAAAAAACAAAAGAGTTAAATCATCTAAGCATAATAAAAGAAAATGATTTATCAAATCGATTACCATGACTGATTTGTTTTAAATAGATCTCCTTGAATGAATGATTTAGTTATATCATCATCTAATAACCAACAAATAGATAATATCAACAGAAGATAACACTTCCTATTTTTCCTATCAATTGATTCTCCAGTCTGGAAAATAAAGAATAAGCATTATAGAAATGAGAATAATCATATAACCGAATAAGTTCTAACATATAATTAGTATTTCTTGACATTGTATAATTCAATGATTGTTACAATGGTATGTACAAAAAAAAAAGTTGTCTCCTTAGTGTTTTCTTTTCTATGACAACGTATCATTAAAAATATCGAATAACATTCGTTCATGGTTTTTATAGTAGTGAACCTTCGTCTTCTCATTATTACATTCATTTATAAATAATCTTATGAATTATTTAGCTGTTGTCATTTTCTACAAAGATGATGAATACATAAAGTAGAAAAGTAAATATAATAACTTTGTTATTATTACTTAGAATATCTTCGCACTCAACATTATTATCGGAGGTAATAAAAAACATGATGTTGACACATAACTATTAGCTCACGAATAACAATGAACTAAATAGAAAATATGTTACTTTGTGTATTGCTTATATTGCGTTTATCTATTTTTCTATTGACAAAAATTAATGTGCTATATGGATGTAGTTATCTCATCTCATTTTTCTTTTGTTCTAATTGATTCTTACCTAATGATAAATAATGATCGATTTTCTCTCGTTGTAAAATAGATAAAGAATCAGAAACAATTTCATCATTATTTGATTATGTAGAATGATGATCTACAATGATTATATCTTTGGTATTATTTATTTATTTATTTTATTTATTGAAATCGAAGCAACAATCAAAAATTATAAACTTGAACAGCAAATAGGATCAACAATGGTATTACCACCATGTTTTCCAACAGTACCATCATCGACTGATGATGTTGCAGTAAGGATATCTTTGTTTGTTTTCTAAGTTAATATATCCTTTGACATTTTTGTTTTATTTCTAAATAGACAATTTTATTTAAATCTGATTCAGGTGAATTATTAGGTATGAATGGGATATTAATTTCCAATAATCCTCGTTTAATGATAAAAAATCCACATTCTTTCGAGTTAGCTATTAAATTAATTGAATTATCAGATGAAGGTCAATATGAATGTCGAACTGATCAAATAATTAATTATATTGTTCATTTAATTGTTATTAATTGTACGTTTTAGTGTAACTCTAGTTTTTTTTCGAAAAAAAAAAACATTTTATTTTCTTTTTTTTTATTATTAGCATCAACTATTCATTTAAATGCACTCGAAGGTTCTAATATTACGTTACAATGTAGTGAAAACGGAATGTGGACTATTGAAGAAAATCATCAAGGAGGAGCTGTTCGTGAGTAAATTTTTTTTTTTTCATTTTAATTTCTTATTTTCCTTCTCATATATTTGATTTACAGGTAAACAATATACAACAGAATTAGTATTGAATAATTTACAACGAAATGATAATCGTTTTCAAAAAATTATTTGTTCAACACTTGATCGACATGAAAAACGAGAATATATTATTGATATTATGTGTATATATATTCTGATTAAAAATAGTTGATAAACTAACAGAACATTATTTCTTTTTTTTTTTTTTTTGAACTAGATAAACCAACTGTCAAATTGATGATGTCCATAAGACAGAAATTAATGTGTATAATATGTGCTCATCCATTGCCACATCGCATACATTGGTGGTGGAATACACGAAAAGGTCGTAATGATAATATTCAGCAAACAAAGATCAATCAATCATGTATTGCTCAACAGTCTATTTTTATACTGGTATTAATAAATCAATCATATCAAGATTATTAGAAAAGAATAAAATTAACAGTAATTTTTTTATTTCTTCTAGGAAAAAGAATATGATATTGAACAGATAATTATATGCGAAGCAGAGAATGTACATGGAATAGGTCGAGATACTTTACAATTAAAAGAACGTAAGACGACATAACCAAAAAAGAAAGATTTGTTGAGTTTTTTGCTCTTTATCTTCAATAGGATCAACAACAAAAAGTTTGAAATATATCACATACAAATCGTTAGAAATATCTTCAAGCAGATTGATGACAACAACAATGACTATTAAAAATATATCACCATGTTTCTATAATAATTTTCAATTGATAATTAATATTATAATATTCATTTATTTTATAGATCATATTGTAGTTTATTATTAATATGAACAGTATTAAATAACAATGAACAGTATTTTATGTTTTATTGTATTTTCATTACTACATGGAGAGTATAAGGATTGAAAAACTGATTTATTTGTGAAATAAAACTAAAAAATTGAATTGAACACTATCAACTACCTACAACAACAAGAGGAAGAAGATTTATACATAATAATATATGAATAGCTCATCAATTTCCGAATTCTTAAATTGGAAAATGTTTTTTTTTTTACTACAGATAATAGAACTATGCAGATTCAGTTTATTGATTTCCGACGTCCCTGACTCAATATATTTAGTGCATACTGACACCACTGTTCATTTGAAACAGTGAAACCAACTACTGCAAAGCGAGAATATTTTGAGAGAAATGGTATCGATTGATCATCTGCTGGTAATCCACTATTTAGTAATTACAAAAGTATTGCATATCCTTTTAGTAGAAAGCTATTCCTACGTAGCAAGACCGATAAGCCAAGCGACATCTACGACTGAAAGTCTATTCCTATTTTTGTTTTTAAAAGAACTTAGATAAGTGTCATTATTGGAAATTTTGTTTTAATATCAATAATAAATAATTAATTAAATAAATAGATAAGACAGAACGAAAGAAATTATTCTTTAATTAAAAATTAAGCTCTTTGTTCAATCAACCAATTATAATATATATGCCAAATTGATTGTTTAATTTGCTCAATCAATCAAAAATCTTATTTATTGGTCTTGAAGAATATTTTTACAATTGAATTTAATTTGATTTACAAGAATGTCTCCAATATCAATTCGTCAACCTGGTGATGTTGTCAATGAAGTTTATTCACATAATATTAAATCTATTATTGAAATGTGCCTTGATGCTGGTGATGATCCAAGTTTACTTATTGACGAAGTGAAACGTGAACTTCAAGTAAAAAACTTAAAAAAAAATGTTTTTTTTTTACAAGAAATAAGACATGATTTATTATTTAGAAAATGGTTGCTGAAATGATGGCTGAAGATGATGCATTATTGGAACGTAAACGTGCTGAACTTGTACCAATTCGTACTCATTATGAATCACTTTATCATGAGTTATATCCAGATAAAACTTGTCCACAATATGGTAATACTTTACCTGTTCTTCTAGCATTACGTACATATGTTGATGAATATAAAAAATTAAAAAATGAACATGAAAAATTACTTGAACGTGAAATAGATATTCGACGTGAAGAAAAACAATTATGTAATGAATTAAATGAACATTCATTACAAATTGATAATCAAAATTTTAATTCAAAACAATTAAGTACACAAATGAGTCTTTTATCAGAACATATTATTGAATTACGTGAAGAAAAAGTAATTTGTTTATTCTATCTAAGATATTATTTACAAAAATTAAAAACATTCTTTTTTTTTTAAGGCAAAACGTATTGCTCATTTAACAGAAATAATGCGAACATTACATGAATTTGAAGAAGTTTATGGATGGAAACGACCAATAATTGAAACAATGATTAATCGATTACTAACACTTGGACCAACTAAAATTGATCAATATACTCTAACAAAAGAAGTTTTAGAACTTGTCGATAAAGAATTTACTCAAGTAATATTATTTTATTTTTTTCTTGTCTTTTTTATTTTTTCTTATAAAATAGATCACTGAACAAGTACAAAAAGCAGAAGCTTGTTTTGAACAATCACATAAACAATTAACAACACTTATACGAAAACATCAATCATTAATTCCAAATGAAAAAGTTTTAACAGTAACTAAAACTAAACAATGTCGATTATCAAAATTACCTGATGTATGTTTATTTTGTTTTTGATTCAATAATAATAATTAAAAATCTTCGTTTTTTTAGCTAATTGCAGAAGTTGATCGTTATACAGAATATGCCGTTGAAAAATTAACAAATGATATATTTAAAGCACGTGAACGTATTCATATTATACTCAATAAACTTTCATTTAATGATGTTACTAATGATTCAAAATATGCTATTTTATATACTAGTAAATATATATATTTGATTCTGTTTTTTTTTTTTGTTTCTTTCTGTAGATGATTTTACCGAAGATATCTATTTTATGCATGAAGAACTTTTACAAGAACTTGAAGCTCAATATGAAGTTAATAAATCCATGTATGAACAAATCGAAATATGGAATGAACTTTTTCTTGAATTTCAAGAATTTGAAGTATATCTTTCGATATTTATTTCATTTGATTATTTAGTTTATAAATATTTTTTATTAGAAAAATGCTAGTGATCCACAACGTTTTCATCGTCGTGGTTATAGTGCATTAGCAGAAGAAAAAAATCGTAAAAAATTAGAAGCAAATTTACGTGAATGTGAATTACGTCTTCAAAATCTTGCCAATGATTTTATGAAGAAAAATAATGGACAATCATTTATAATGAGTGCAAATGGAAAAGAAATACATGATTATATTCAACAACGAAAAGATGATTATATTAAAGCTAAAGAACGTGAACGAGAAGCAGCTAAGGTAAGATAAAGAAAAAGAACTATTAATAAGAAGCAAACATCTTTCGTACTAGACTCCATCTTCAAAGAAAAAGGCTCGTACAGACACAATCATACGTGTTCGTCCAGCTCCTTTACAGTCAGTACCTGGTTCCGATGAAAACAATAACAACAGCGAAGATAATCAATGTGCTACTACAGTTTGTGTACCAGTTTCGAAAAAGAAAAAAATTTTTGTCTAAATATTAGTATTTTTTTTTCCTATGTTATTTATTTATTTATTTATAAATTAAAATTTTTCTTTACTTAAAAAAAAAATACTTTTACATAATAATAATTACACATGTTGAACTAAATTCTGTTTTTATTGCATGTAAAACAGACTATAACTTATTTACAAAAGGAATGGCTTTACATGATCATTATTAATTCTAGGCAGCAGCACATAAAACATCAACAAGTTCAATTGTTGGACGAACACCCTTAAAAACAAAACAACTACCTGATAATATATCGAGTGCTACATCAAAACGCGTAAGATATGCATTAAATATTCTTCTTTAATAAAATATTATTTTTTCTAGTCGAATTCAAATTCAACAGCATATACACCTTTAAAAACTGTTCGTCGTGTTGCTATTCCAAAATTACCAACTGGTAAAACAACTCCATTACATAATTCAACAATGAAATTACGAACACAAAAATTTTTACAAACAACTAAACGTACAAATATAGATCAAACATCATCAACAATTGTAACACCAGTTAAACAACGTTGTCTTATTAATCAAATTATTGATACAACTCAAAATATTTCATCAAATAATTTAATCACAGGAAATACATCTACAGGTTTTAAAACTTCAACCATGGTAATATTCTTTGTTCCTGAATAATAAATTATTAGTTTTTGGTTTCATTTGTTTTTTAGACAACATCAGGAAAACGTCCCATAATGAAACGAGGTATTCCGACTCCTATCCATACTCATAAATGAAAATAAAACTTATGTAAATAAAAATAATAATTATTGTTATCTGTTTGTTTTGTATTTTTATTTAATGTACAAATAAGAAAAATAGAAAAGAGAAAAATAAATACATTGATGATTATATATATATATATGTATATATCTGACTAAACAAGAATATATTTTGTTAAATTTTTCTCTTCATTATCATTTAATATTGGTATTTCAATATAATTTGGATTGCTAAATGCTGGTAGAGATTTTTCTATTTGTTTATTAATTGTTGTTGTTTTACGTTGTCGTCTCCGTAGTTTAACTCGTTCAACACGTTCATTTTCACGTGCAATAAATTGATCTATTTCATCTGTTGGTTCAATTGATGAAAGTATAGTTACAACTGGTAATGTTGTACTAACTAATTGAGCTCGTTCAGGTTTTATTGATTTCTAGAAAATATTAAATTGAAAAAAAAGAATAAAATAAAAAGTTTTTTTTTTTTTTTTTGGTTTAAAATTTCGATACCATCGAAAATCGACTTGTCTTTGGTGGAATAATAACAGATTCATCTCGTAGTGTAACACATCGTTTTCTTGGTTTAGCATATAATGGATTAAGATTTTCATCATTTTGTTCTTCATCAATTATTTCATTGATTCGTTGATTAACATAATTATGATGAGTATTTGATGGAGGAGTTGTTAAACAATTAGCTAAAAGTAAAAGAGGTATATGATTTGTATTTGTACATGAATAAGAACAAGTTGGTTCAATATCAATCATTAATGGACGAGTAAATGATATATTTGATGTATCGATTATATCATAGATTGGATTTGAATAAGCATGTGCATTGGACCACATATTATAAGGTAAAACAATTTAATCATTAATCTCGAAATAAAAAAAAGTAAGAAATTTTTGTATTTTGATTATTATAATTCACTAATTTCATTTATTTTTTTTATTTTTTATCTTAAAATAACAATTTCATAATGAAATTTTTTTTTTTGAACGAAAAGATACATCAAATATATGTATACACAATTTGTCTTGAAGAAATACACGTAATACAGAGGAAAAAAAAACCAAAAAACGAAAGAATTATTTAGTTTAAATACACAAAGAGAAAACGATATATATCTGAAATATACTATTAGTACATGAAGAAACATATATGGCTCAATAATAATTTCACATAACAACTGTTTTTTTTTTAAATACTAAACACCAAATTTCCGATATGTTTGTATGGAGTAATAGAAATAAATCAATGTTCTACTTATGAAAATTGATTTCATAATTACATGTATGATTTCTAAAATAATGAAAGTTTTATAAATTTGAATAATATGTATTTACATAAATATTAAAAAAAACACAATGAATATTTTGTTTCTATAGAAAAGTTTCAAAAGCTCGAATAAATATCGAAAATAAATAGACGATCTCATCTTAACGATATTTTAATATATATGAAAATATTTTTTCAAAGAATTCAAAGTAAATTTTCAAAAAGTTACTTTATAATCCTATCTGACGCATAACTTATTGCTGAGTGTATACAGACTTTCGCAAGCTGTCATCAAACAATATTAATATAGGATATACATGAATTATTAGAGTATATATATCATCGCTTACACTCATCAATGTAGCTGATAGGAATCTTTTTAATACATATACAATTCACAATTCAACAGCCAAAAGTGCAGGAGATATATTGATGAAAGTCCTATAAGCAAAATTGTGAAGCTCCGAGTTTCAGCTAATGGAGTGTGGTTTATTGTGTGGACCAATTTCCGAAGTAGAGGAATGTCATGGCATCTTCCCCAAATACAATATTAAACAAAGTCTTTTGAATGATTTTTGAATAAAGTAGAACTCTTTCACGAGAGTGAATTTTGAGATGCAGTTTATGTCAAAATTACAATGAGTATATATAACATATCCACAGAAAATTTCATCTCTCAATGGACCGTTCGAAAAATTTTATCTAATAAAAATTAACAACTTCAAAATGTTATATGTTCAGATCCACTATGATTCAACAGTTAAAGATGAAATTTTCTATGGATATAGTATATATACTAATTGTACTTTTGATGCAAGTCACATCTCAAAAATTAATTGTATGAGAAAGTTTTACTTAAATCAAAAACGTCCAGAAACTTTTGTCGAATATTGTAAATTATACCCTTGAAGTCAAAATCTATTATTCATTTTTACAGATTAATCTTTCCATTTTGACCTAGATTTCCCAGTGATTTTAGTTAATTCATTTTTGACATAAACAACAAGCTTGACTGACATTTCCGCACAAAACAGCTTTCGGGTAAAATTATTTTTGTTTGTTCTTGCCGTTTTCAGTAATTGGTTTTTTTTTTCGAACTTTGTGAATAGTAATGGTTTCTATGATCTCGATCGGTTTTCTTTATTCATGTTTATTGATTTAGTAATATAAGAAACAAGAAAATCTTTATTTTATTCATCCAATAAAATAAAGTTCATGAGATAAATAAATTGAAAAATTATTTCAGATTTTTATATGTGTTTTTTCAAAGAAAAATTTTATTCGCAAGATCTGCTAAAACCTATCTAGGTTTCTTAAACACATAAACTTCAATAAATTATAGTGTGACCTCTAAAAATCTACTGAATCTTGCTTACTCTATGTGTTTTCTCTTTGACCTCCACTCCGGAATTGTGCCCTATATGTGCTTCCGCACTCATCCTCATTCAAAAATCTAATTTTATACATAAGTGTCGATGCCTTAGGATGAAGCACGGAAATGTCTCTACAAGAGAACGTTTTTGCGCACAAGTGTTCTGAACGGAAATGTCATGTCACGAAGCAAAATCTGTATAGCTCATCTTATCTAAAAAAAAATTAACTGTGAATATTTAATATGATCTCATTTAAAATCAATTTATCTAATAAATAATTAACTAAATTTTTCTTTGTTCTAAAATAGAACAACTCTTTTAATATTTACATTTTATCTAATATTAAAGATTCATTGGTTATATTGTTTGGTAAACTCTAAAGAACAAAAGCAAAAAAAAAAAGAAAAAGAAAAAGTTAGATAAATTTAAAATAAATTGCTTTTCGTATTACTTCATAAGATTTATCCCAAAAACTAATATCATTACTTGCTTCAGCTAATCGTGCACGATCTAATAAATTATAAACATCCGGTTGTATATAATGAGATATTTGAAAAATTTTTCTAACACAATCAATAGAATATAAACTAATTTGACTTGATATTAATTTCGACGATTTTAATTTTATTAATTGTGAACAAAGTAATGGATCTGATAAAGGATCAATAATTATTGGTTTAAAACCAAAATTATTGGCCTTAAAAAAAAAAAAAACAAAAAAAATCTTAAAGAAATCTGAACAAAGAAAAAAAAACTCGAATTTACAAAATTTTTTATTTTTTCTTCATTATATTCAGGAAGTACATTTGAAATAGTAAACCATGGTAACATTATATAAGAATTATATCTTGCAAAAATTAATTTATCATATTCATTTATCATTACAACTTTTATTAATGATATAGATTTTGTTTGAAATAATTCAGTAGATCCTGATAATTGATGATCATCATTTTGTTTTTTAACGCAAGTTTCTGTTTCACGCATAGCTCTTTAATAAACATTCAAATCACATTTATAAAAAACTTTTCATAAGTTAAAAACATACTCTCCAGCGTTCCAATAAAGTGCAATCATTGAATGCATTGGTTGACCATTATCATCCAACATATAAATCTTCTCCGAACAAAAATACAAAATAATTTCAAAATTTTCGATTTATTTATTCTTACCAAATTTTTTTCATTTGAAATATCATCAATTGGTTTAGCCATTTTACAATGTATTAAAAAATCATTAAGACATACATAAGCTTCATCATGTAATGCAAATAAATTAACATAGAATGTATTATCACGTCCTTTATATAATGGTTCAACATCACATTGACAATTTTGAACAACATTTTGAAATGTTTTTGATACAACATCATTCCATTGATTATCATTATTATTATTATTATTTAATGGAGCTATTGATGCTAAACGACATGTTGATAAATAAACAGGTCGTGAAGAATATTTTGTTAATATAAAACGTAGACGTGATCGTGGTACATGTTCATCCCAAGAATTTAAATCAACAAAAAAAACATTTACAGTATCATCTACTAAATCATATTCCATTATTTGAGAACGATTCCATGCTAATGCTGTTGCATCCCAAGTCACACAAAGAAGATTCTTACGTAAATATTCAGATGATATATGAAGATCATCAATTGAATTATAATAATCACTAAATAATATTAAATTAAATTACGTAAGAAAAAAAACCTAGTCAATTTTACTTCATAGTTTTAAAAAATGCATCACATGCAATTAAATCTTTTGTTAATTGAATTGTAAATGCATATGGTGAAATTATTGAAACAATACAACATTGTTGAATAATATTTAATTCTAATGATGATGTTTCATATTTATATCCATTAGAAACAATATCAACCATTAAGATTTCATTTGTTAATGAATAAATTTCTTTATCAGATGTCTTTTTCTAAATAGAGATTATGTGTATCATGAAACAAAAAAACAAAAAGGAGCACTTATTTGAGAGATGTACACGAATAGACTTTTACCTAAGGAATGGTCTAATTCCATCTTCAGGTTTTAGTTGGAAATTTATCTTAAAAAATTCGAATTCAATTCTTATTAAGTATATTCATCCATGATCAAAATTTCAATAAGAAAATTGATCGAGAATTTTGAATTACTTGTATCTTTGTAATCAAAATTCTTTTAACAGAAATTATACAAATTTAAAAATTAATATCTCATGTTGCTAAATCTCCCTCAACAAAATAATGAAAAATGAATTCAAGTTTCAATTAAACAAACACTTACAAATGCTGAATTTGATCTTGTTGATGAAATATTTAAATTATCAATTCCATTTTGACAAAAAAGAATTTGTTCTGTAAT